TCCTGCACAGTCGGGTCGCTCTTCCTCTCACAGTCGAGTCGCTCTTCCTCTGCACAGTCGAGTCGCTCTTCTCTCTCCCCCTCTCTCTGGTCCTTGTGGTTCATGTCATTTCCTCTAAGCCGAGAGTCGGACAGCGGAGACTTCGCCTCTCTCACATGTGATGAGCAGCAGAGGGATATGTGTAGCAGCTTTCCTGTGATCTCCCCACACCGTGTCAGTATGAGTCCCCCCGGGCCTGTCCTCCCTCCTCCTCCTGCTGTGCTGCCTTCTAGTAAGTCCCTTTGTTACATTTTGTTTCTTCTTAGTCACATAGCTGACAGCAGACAGAACTCCTCTCCCCCAGTGCAGGCCTGATCTGCTGTCCTCTCCAGAAGCACGGCGCCATTGTTGTTCAGGGCATCATCCGGGGTCACCATCTACTTCCTGTACTGAGATGGTCCGGCTCAAAGATGACACCATCACAAATGTCTGACACAGACCAGCCCCTTGCTGCGGCCTCTTCCGTAATGACTTGGCTACAAAGTTACAATGTACAGTCTGATCCTCTGGGCTCCCTCTACAAAGTTACAACAGTCTGATCTCTGGGCTCCCTCTACAAAGTTACAATGTACAGTCTGATCTCTGGGCTCCCTCTACAAAGTTACAATGTACAGTCTGATCTCTGGGCTCCTCTCTACAAAGTTACAATGTACAGTCTGATCTCTGGGCTCCTCTCTACAAAGTTACAATGTACAGTCTGATCTCGGGCTCCCTCTACAAAGTTACAATGTACAGTCTGATCTCTGGGCTCCTCTACAAAGTTACAATGTACAGTCTGATCTCTCCGGGCTCCCTCTACAAAGTTACAATGTACAGATACTGATCTCCGGGCTCCCTCTACAAAGTTACAATGTACAGTCTGATCTCTGGGCTCTCCCTCTACAAAGTTACAATGTACAGTCTGATCTCCTGGGCTCCCTCTACAATGTTACAATGTACAGTCTGATCTCCTGGCTCTCCTCCAAAGTTACAATGTAAAGTCTTGAATCTCTGGCTCCCTCTACAAAGTTACAATGTACATCTGATCTCCGGCTCCTCTACAAATGTTACAATGTACAGTCTGATCTCCGGGCTCCTCTCTACAAAGTTACAATGTACAGTCTGATCTCCGGGCTCCCTTTACAAAGTTACAATGTACAGTCTGATCTCCGGGCTCCCTCTACAAAGTTACAATGTACAGTCTGATCTCTGGGCTCCCTCTAGAGGAAACTGATTACAATGTACAGTCTGATCTCCGAGCTCCCCTCTACAAAGTTACAAATGTACATCATCTCTGGGCGAGAGAGACTGAGGAAAGCTTCTCCTGCCTGCAGCAGACTGATGACAGCTCAAGGACACCTTTTCACTGATGGAGCGTGATACCGTTGCTGTATACTGTGACATGTCAGGACAGGGGCGGGACTGACCATTTGGAAACTCGGGCACTGCCCGAGGGCCCGGGGTCAGTAGGAGGCCCCATGAGATGCCCCTGGTACCTTTCATAGGCTTTTTTGAGTTTGGGCAAGGACACAGGGGCCCCATGATCCCCTATTGCCCGGGGGCCCCATGATCCCCTATTGCCCGGGGGCCCCATGAGTTGTCAGTCCGCCCCTGGTCAGTGGGTGTAGTCATTCAGACTTGTGACTTGCTGATGCACTTGAAAAAAAACAAATGAAAGGGAAACTTTCAAAGAGGAAGGTGACAAGCCCGGCCGCCGGGATATTCCCAACTGAAAGAGCAAAGATGGCAGCTTTCATGCCACTGCCTGCGGGGGGGGGGGGGGGTTCCTTCCCAAACCATGGGGTTGGGGGGGTTTGTTCCCTTCCCAACCATGGGGGGGATTGTTCCCTTCCCAACCATGGGGGGGGGGGGGGGGTTGTTGCCTTCCCAACCATGTGCAGGCAAGTCTGATACCTACCAAGTGCGATGCAAATGCCAGACCTGGAAATGTATAGTTTGGGTGTACTCTCCCCCCCCCGCCACCCCACAGGGGGGGGGGGGTAAATTCTTGCCAAATCTTCTGCACCCCCAACAGAAAATAGAAAAAATAAAAAGTTTTTATGCTTTAAAAGTACAATAGCGCAGAATACTCTGATCAGCCATAACTGACAGGTAGGTGAATGACATGACAGGATTATCTGGTTGACATGACATGGGGGATATATTAGGCAGCAAGTGAACATGTTTGTCCCTGAAGCTGAAAACAAAAAAAATGGGCATCGCAGTTTGTTGTGTATGGGGCTGTGTAGCCCGCACACCGGTCAGGGTGCCCATGCTGAGCCAAAAGCAACTACAATGGGGATGTGAGCATCAGAACTGGACCACAGAGCAAAGGAAGAAGGTGGCCTGGTCTGATGGATCACGTTTATTTTACATCATGTGGATGGCCGGGTGTGTGTGTCACCTACCTGGGGAAGAGGTGGCACCTTAGGGATGCAGTATGGAAGAAGGCAAGCCGGTGAGGCAGTGTGAGGCTTTGGGTGATGTTCTGGTGGGAAAACGTGGGTCCTGCCATTCATGTGGATGTTATTTGACATGTACCACCTACCTAACCATTGTTGGTGACCAAATAACACCCCTTCATGGAAATGGTATTCCCTGATGGCAGCGGCCTCTTTCAGCAAGATAGATCACCCTGCAACAACGCAAAAATGGTTCAAGAATGGTTTCAGGAAGGCAACAAGTTTAAGGTGTTGACTTGGCCTCCAAATTCTCCGGATCTCAATCCAATGGAGCACCTATGAGATGTGCTGGAAAAATAAGTCTGATCCATGGAGGCCTCCCCTCTCTCCCCCTCTCTCCCATCCTTCTCCCCCTGAAAAGAGCCCCCCCTCCTCCCCTCTCTCTCTCTATATATCCCCCCTCCACTATCGCTCTCTCCCCCCCCACCCCTCCCCCCCCCCTTTCCCCTCTCTCTCTCATCCACCCCTCTTTCTCTCTCGCTCCACCCCCCTCCCCTCTCCCTCCTCCCCCTCTGCCCCCCCTCCCCTCTCTCTCAGTCCCCTCCCTTTCCCTCCCTCCCTCTCTCTCCCCCTCTCTCCCCCTCCCTCTCTCCTCTCCTCCTCCCTTCTGCCCTCTCTCCTCTCCCCCCTCCCCTCCCCCTCTCTCTTCCTCCCTGAAAGAAGATCTCTCCCTCCCCTCTGTTTCTAACCCTCTTCTCTCCTTAGAAAGAAAGATTCCCTATCCCTCCCCTCTCTTTCCCCCCCCTCCCCCCCCTCTCTCTCTCCCTTCTCACCCCCTCTCTCCCTCTCTCTCCCTCCCCCTTCCCTCCTCTCTCCCTCCCCTCCCCCTCCTCCAGACTCCCTTCCTCTCCTGCTCTCTCCACCCCCCTCATCCCCTCTCCCCCCCCCTCCCCCCTCTCTCTCTCCCCCTGTCCTCTCATCCCCCTAGAGAATCTCTATCCCCTCTCTCTCACCTCTATCCCCCCTCTTTCCCCTCCTTGTCTCCCCCCCACCTCTCTCGTCCCCCTCTCCCTCTTCCCCCCTCTCTCTCATCCCTCCCCCCTCCCCTCTCTTCCCGTCTCTCTCACATCCCCCCTCTTCCGTCCTCTCCCCCTCTCGAACCTGTCTCTCTCTCTCTCCCCTCCCTCCATCCTCCCCTCTCTCTATACCCCCCTCCCCTCTCTCTCCCTCTCTCCCCTGTTCTCTCTCTCCCACCCTCTTTCTCACTCCCACTCTGCCCCCCCTCTCCCCTCTCTCCCCCTCTTTCTCTCTCCTCTTCCCCCTTCCCTCTCTCTCCAGAACTCGCTACCCCTCTCTCTCACCTCTCTTTCACTCCCTCTCCTCTCTCTCCCTCTCGTCTACCCCTCCCTCTCTCCTCCTCTCCCTCCCTCTCCCTCCCTCTCTTCCCCCTCTCACTCTCCCCCCTCTCTCTCTCCCCTCTGTCTCCCCCCCCTCTCCCTCTTCCCCCCCTCTCTTCCCTCCCTCTCTCTCCCTCCCCCTCCCTCTCTCTCTCCCTTCTCTCTCTACCCCCTCTCCCCCCCTCTCTCCCTCTCTCCCCTCTCCCTCATCCTCTATCTCTCTCAACCCCCCCTCTCTCTCCTCTCCCTCTATCCTCCCTCTGTCTCTCCCCTCTCTCCTCTCCTCTTCTTAAAAATAAAAATGTTGTGCCCCCCCCCCTCCCCAATGAGAGAGCGAGAGAGTCAATAAGTGTGTGTTTGTATATATATATATATCATATATATATATATATATATATTATATACTATAATAATTCCTCCTTCTCTTCCTCTCTCTTCCCCCTATCTCTCTCATTCACTCTTCTCTCCTCTTTCCATCCCCCTCTCTCCCCTCACTCTCCCCCCCCCTCTCCCTCCCCCCTACCCCTCTTCCTTCTCTCTCTTCCCTCTCTCTTCTGCCCTCTCCCCCCTCAACTTTCTTTTTCCTTCTCTCTCTCTCTCCTCCTTCTCCCCCCCTCTCTCCCCCCTCTCCTCCTCTCTCTCTCCCCCTCTCTCACCCTCTCCTCCACTCCCACTCCCCTCTCCTCTCCCCCTGTCCTCTCCCCCCTGTCTCTCTCTCTCCCTCTCTCTATCCCCTTACTCTTTCCCCTTCTCTCTCTCTCATCCCATTCTCTCTTCCCCTCTCCCTCTCCCCCCCTCTCTCTCCCCCCCTCCTCTTCCCTCCCTCTCTTCCCCATCTCCTCTCTCCCCCTCTCCTCCCCTCTCCCCCCCCCTCTCCCTCTCCCCCTGCCTCTCTCTCCCATCCCTGGCCTCCTCCTCCCCTCTCTCTATATCCCCCCCTCCCCTCTCTCCTCCACCCTCTGTCCCCCCCTCCCCCCCTCTTTCTCTCCTCCTTCCCCCCTCCCTCCTCTCCCCTCTCTTTCACTCCTCTCCCTTCTCACCCCTCTCATTCTCTCCCTCCCTCTCTCCTTTCTAGAGCTCTCTCGTTCCCTCCCCTCCCTCTCTCCCCCCTCTCACTCCCCCCTTTTTTCCCGCCTATCTCCCCCTCTCTCCCTCTATCCCCTCTCTCTCCCTCCCCCCTCCCTCTCTTCCCTTCTCTCTCCCTCCCCCCCTCTCCCTCTCCTCTGTCTCTCTCATCCCCCCTCTCTCTCTCCTCTATCTCTCCCTCTTCCTCTTTCTACCCTCTCTCCTTTTTCCCCTCCCTCCCTTATCTCTCTCCCTACCCTCATTCCCTATATCGGTGGTCTCCCCGGACCCTGCATTCACCATATCCGGTCTCCCCCGGACCCCACATTCACTATATCCGCTCTCCCCGGACCCCGCATTCACTATATCCGGTCTCCCCGGACCTGCATTCACTATATCTAGTCTCCCAGGACCCTGCATTCACTATATCTGGTCTTCCAGGACCCTGCATTCACAATATCCGGTCTCCCCGGACCCTGCATTCACTATATCTGGTCTCCCAGGACCCTGCATTCACTATATCTGGTCTCCCCAGACCCTGCATTCACTATATCCGCTCTCTACCCGGACCCTGCATTCACTATATCTGGTCTCCCCGGACCCTGCATTCACTATATCCGCTCTCCCCAGACCCTGCATTCACTATAATCCGCTCTCCCCAGACCCTGCATTCACTATATCTGGTCTCCCCGGACCCTGCATTCACTATATCTGATCTCCCCGGACCCCGCATTCACTATATCTGGTCTCCCCGGACCCTGCATTAACTATATCTGGTCTCCCCGGACCCTGCATTCACTATATCTGGTCTCCCCGGACCCTGCATTCACTATATCCGGTCTCCCCGGACCCTGCATTAACTATATCTGGTCTCCCCCGGACCCTGCATTCACTATATCTGGTCTCCCCGGACCCTGCATTCACTATATCTGGTCTCCCCAGACCCTGCATTCACTATATCTGGTCTCCCCGGACCCTGCATTCACTATATCCGCTCTCCCCGGACCCAGCATTCACTATATCTGGTCTCCCCGGACCCTGCATTCACTATATCCGCTCTCCCCGGACCCTGCATTCACTATATCTGATCTCCCCGGACCCGCATTCACTATATCTGGTCTCCCTGGGACCCTGCATTCACTATATCTGGTCTCCCTGGACCCTGCATTCACTATATCTGGTCTCCCCAGTACAAGGAACATGGAAATGCAATTATTTTAGTAAATATTATTATTATTAATAAAAATAATAATAATAATTACTTGTTTTTGTTCATTTATTGCTAATTCACTAATGTATTATTTATTATTGATTTATTATTACTATTAGTTGCTTTTTTATTAATTTGTTGGTAATTCATTCGTTATTTATTTAATATTTATTTGGGGGGGGGGGGGGTTGTTAATGTGTTAATTAATGTATTATTGATTTAATATTTTTTGTTATTATTATTACTATTATATTGACTTATTTATGTTAATTTACTGTGAATTAAAGTGTTACTAAACCTGTCTGCTCTCCCCGGACCCTGCATTCACTATATCCGGTCTCCCCGGACCCTGCATTCACTATATCTGGTCTCCCCGGACCCTGCATTCACTATATCCGCTCTCCCTGGACCCTGCATTCACTATATCCGGTCTCCCCGGACCCTGCATTCACTATATCTGGTCTCCCCGGACCCTGCATTCACTATATCCGCTCTCCCCGGACCCTGCATTCACTATATCCGGTCTCCCCGGACCCTGCATTTCACTATATCTGGTCTCCCCGGACCCTGCATTCACTATATCCGGTCTCCCAGGACCCTGCATTCACTATATCCGCTCTCCCAGGACCCTGCATTCACTATATCTGGTCTCCCCGGACCCTGCATTCACTATATCTGGTCTCCCCGGACCCTGCATTCACTATATCTGGTCTCCCCGGACCCTGCATTCACTATATCTGCTCTCCCTGGACCCTGCATTCACTATATCCGGTCTCCCTGGACCCTGCATTCACTATATCCGCTCTCCCCGGACCCTGCATTCACTATATCTGGTCTCCCCGGACCCTGCATTCACTATATCTGGTCTCCCTGGACCCTGCATTCACTATATCTGGTCTCCCACAGTACACATAACATGGAAATGCAATTATTTTAGTAAATATAAACTGCTAAATACCTTTTCTCATTAGCAGTATATAGCAGTCTTGTGACTTCTAACAGTGTCCAGCAGAGCACTGGTTAAAGCTTATAGGAGGAGTTTTCTTTGTGCTCTAGGAGGATGCAGGACCCCTGACCTCTGCCTGGACAGTGCTGATTGGCCCTGTGCTGATCACATGCACTCTCTAAGAAAAAAAAAAAAAACCTCTCTAGCAATACACACCAAACTGAGCATGTGCAACTTACTTGCAAAGGCTCTGTTCTATCAGCAGATGGATTGGGGACAGTAGAAGGGGAGGATCAGAGAAGACAGGATCAAACAGCTTTTTTACACAATGCAGAGGATTAACCCTTTAGGTTCCACAGCGTATATAACAAGCATGCTTTACTGCATCTACAGACTGATTGTACTGTTGTGGGGTTAGTAACACTTTAAGTCCGACCTGTTAAGGTATTATGTTTTTTGTACCTCTTTTTTAATCGAATGTATCGAACTGGGGATAATACGAGGTGGGATCAAAAGTTTAGAGACTAGTTTTATTAACACGCCAACAGATGGCAGCACAAGGCTGCACGCACAGTCACAGGTTAGCACGGACCTTCATTAGTCAGTGTGCGCAAAAAAGACATGGTCCTGTGTACATCGGGAGCTGTGCAGCTGGTGCTATTCTGACCACGTCTGCTATTTCATCATGGACAGCAAGTTAGAACAAAGAGCAAACGTGAAATCCTGCGTGAAACCGGGCAAATCTGCCCAAAAGAGACAATTGGCTGATTTGGCATTAGACTTGTGCAGTTTGTTTTTTTTTTGGACAATTTTTTTATAATTTAGAGATTTGGATGTATCCGAATTACAACAGTAACGAATTCAAATGAATCTGAAATAACGAAACGAAATTTGGCTGAAATTCGAATCGATTCAAATTCGAAAACACATTCGAAAACTAATTCAGATTTGAAAACAAATTCTAAAACCAATTTGAATTTGAAAACAAGAATAGAATAAGGTAGAACAGAAAATAAAGAAATAGAAAAGAGTAGTCTAGAATAGAAAATAATAGAACAAAATAGAGGAAAAAATAACAGAATACAAAATAAAAGAATAGAACAGAATACAGTAGAAAATAATAGAGTGAAACAGAACAAAATAGAATAGAATATAAAGGAATAGAAAAGAATAGAATCCAATAGAATAGAAAAGATTAGAACATAAAATCAAAGAATAGAAAAGAATACAGTAAAACAGCAAAATAGAACAGCAAACAAAGGAATAGAATCAATTAGAATAGAATAGAGGAAAGAACAGGATACAAAATAAAAGACTAGAACATAATACAGTAGAAAATAATAGAGTAAAACAGAACAAAATAGAATAGAACATAAAGGAATAGAAAAAGAATATAATCCATTAGAGTAGAATAGAAAAGATTAGAACATAAAATCAAAGAAAAGAAAAGAAAAGAATATAGTAAAACAGAGCAAAATAGAACAGAAAATAAAAGGAATAGAATAGAATCAACTAGCATAGAAGAGAATAGAGGAAAAAATAACAGAATACAAAATAAAAGATCAGAACAGAATACAGTAGAAAATAATAGAGTAAAACAGAACAAAATAGAATAGAACATAAAGGAATATAAAACAATATAATCCATTAGAATATAATAGAAAAGAGTAGAATAGAAAAAATCAAAGAATAGAATAGAAAAAGTATAGAAAAGATTAGAAGAGAAAATCAAAGAATAGAATAAAAAAAGGATAGAGTAAAATAGAGCAAAATAGAACAGAACATAAAGGAATAGAAAATAATAGAATCCACTAGAATAGAAAAGATTAGAATAGAAAATCCAAGAAGAGAATAGAAAAGGATAGAAAAGATAAGACTAGAAACTTAAAGAATAGAAAGGAATAGAGTAAAACAGAGCAAGATAGAACAGAAAATAAAGGAATAGAATCAACTAGAATAGAAGAGAGTAGAGGAAATAATAACAGAATACTAAATAAAAGAATAGAACAGAATACAGTAGAAAATAGAGTAAAACAGAACAAAATAGAAAAGAACATAAATGAATAGAAAATAATAGAATCCATTAGAATAGAATAGAAAAGATTAGAGTAAAACAGAGCAGAATAGAACAGAAAATAAAGGAATAGAATCAATTAGAACAGATTAGAATAGAGAAACAAAGAATAGAATAAAATAGAAAGAATAAAACTTTCTTCTGAAATTCAAATTTTGAATAGAATTAATATGAATTGCGAACAGGATACATTAGAATAGAATATAGAACAACAGAAAAGAATAGAATAGATTAGAAAAGACTAAAATACTTAAAAACAAATTGTGAGCTGCTCTATGGTGACGTGCGTAGTGATCAGCAAAGGCACTGTGAAAATGTTGCTGAAATAGAAATTTCCAATATGGTGGCCAGGGGCGGACTGACAACTCATGGGGCCCCCGGGCAATAGGGGATCATGGGGCCCCTGTGTCCTTGGCCAAACTCAAAAAAGCCTATGAAAAAGGTACCAGGGGCATCTCATGGGGCCCCCTACTGACCCCGGGCCCTCGGGCAGTGCTCGAGTTTCCAAATGGTCAGTCCGCCCCTGATGGTGGCACAACTTTCAGACTGCCCCGTAGACCATCGACAACACAGATGGATTGTATGGTCAGAAATTATTTTCAAATCCATTGGAACCGTTTTGAATTCGTTGGAATTATTTTCGAATCTGTTTGAAATTTCTAATTTGGTCGAATTTGAATAAACGAATGAAACAAAAATGAGTCAAATACCGAATTGAATCGAAACGAAACAAAAACTGTGAAATGTTTTCATTTTTGCACGTCTATTCAGCAAGTTTGTAGCGATGCTGCCCTGAGTCTTGTCTGAGGTGTTCTGAGCGTCATGCGATACTTATGCAGGCCATAGATGGGTCGTTTATCAGCCGATTTTTCATCCGCATGCCGATAGTGGGGCCCCGCCCGTCGGCCATTTTTCGTGGATCGTCTCCTTTACTTTTATCAGCAGGGGTGGACTGCCCAAGGGCCCGGGGTCAGTAGGGGGCCCCATGAGATGCCCCTGGTACCTGTCATAGGCTTTTTTGGGTGTGGTTTGAGTGTGGGTGAGGACACAGTGGCCCCCTGATCCCCTATTGCCTGGGGGCCCCACGAGTTGTCAGTCCGCCCCTGGGCCCCCGGGCAATAGGGGATTATGGGGCCCCTGTGTCCTTGCCCCAAACTCAAAAAAGCCTATGAAAAAGGTACCAGGGGCATCTCATGGGGCCCCCTACTGACCCGGGCCCTCGGGCAGTGCCCGAGTTTCCAAATGGTTAGTCCGCCCCTGTTTATCGGTCATGCTGTAAAATCCAAGAAAAACGGCGGATGATGGTGGGCAGCATTGGCAACGGCACCGACCGATTTTTCGTTTCATCGGCCGACAATACAATTCGGCCGATAAACAGCCCATCTATGGCTGCTGCCTTAGAGAGCGGAAGAACGTCGCTGGAAGACGACGAGAGATCAGGAAGACCTTC